CCGACAGGTAGGCTTGACAACTGGGATCAATCGGTGCACTATTAAAGGGCATATGTACTAGGTCAAAGTTGATTGGAGTATTGATAGTAAATGAATGCTGTGCTCAGTTTGATTACGCCTTAAGCACTCCCTTTGGCCTTATTTGGAACCTGTTTATTCAATAGAGTCAATTTAATTCTCTGCGTCTTTGCGCAACACCATTCACATGCAGCTTGAGGTGTTGTTTCAATTAACTTTTATTGCCCGAATCCCTTTCACGTTGGACTTTACAACCTCTTAGGAGGCAGGGAGGGAGGGAGGGAGGGGAGGGGGTAGTGGAATTTAATTGAGTGATCTCATTGGAGACCTCGTAAGCATTCGGAAGCTTAGGCTATTATTCTCTCGAGCAATGCAAAAAGCCTGATTTTGTCTTGGCCACATTACTTCATGAATTTGTTTCAGCTCTAACTTGGTAAAGTGAATAAACACGACGGAGCCCTCAAGGTGAAGTCGATTGGAATAAAGTAGTTTAACTGTTGTTCTCTGAGTGTGCTCTACGTATTTAAAAATTATCTTATGATATCATGCTAAGATGAGCTCCTCTCCCCCCCCCCTTTTGTGTTTTAAATCGTTCGCTATTGAACACCTAGAGAGTTGGTTGCACAATAAGTTCAACTGATTTGGAATCTTAAAAATGGATTCTATTGTAGGCAATTACTATCCAGTGATTTTCGCAGTTCTATTTTGGCGATTTTGTAATCCTAGGCATCCTAGCTCCTGCTGATGAATATTACTTGCTGAAATTACCTTGGACTTGAGGAGTGCAGCCATTCCTGGACATCAGAGGTTTGTGTCGTGATATTCGACCCAACATGCTGATAGGCTTCTGTGAGATTTCTTGGCACGCAATTTTCACATCTCTTTAGTCTCGAGCTATTTTTGTCATCGGCCAGTCTTCAGTTAGTTGGTTAATTAGGCTGATTTCTTAGGGTAGAGTATTACTGAATTCACTTTACTTTGTGTAGGATCGTCTATTTTTCGTTATGGAGTACGTGAACGGTGGTGATTTAATGTTCCAAATCCAAAGAGCTCGTCGTTTCGATGAGGCACGAGCTCGCTTTTACGCCGCCGAGGTAATCCTGGCTCTAATGTTTCTCCATCGACATTTCATTGTGTACCGGGATTTGAAGTTGGACAATATTCTCCTCGACGCAGAGGGACACTGCAAGTTGGCTGACTTTGGCATGTGCAAGGAGGGAATGCTGCCTGGTGTTACTACATCCACCTTCTGTGGAACTCCGGATTACATTGCTCCTGAGGTAAGTTTCTTGATTTGGTATATTTCTTATTACCGCTTTTCTTTACTTCGTCATATCATTCTTATTCATTGTGCCTCACTGTTTTTATTTCAATTCCTATAAGGTGGGGATCTAAAGTAGTAAGGACAGGAATTGACGTTATTGGTTGTTTCAATCATAATACTTCAGTTAGTTCAATGATCTACTTGATCGATTCGCCTTAGCCACGATCTTGTCTATATCCTCTATACAAAATCTAATGACACATAATGTACAATAGCATTTGGTTACTACAATTCACATTTTTCGAATCGTGGTAACTGTATTCGCTGAAAATTAAACTGTTCTAAAGTCATTTTATTGTCCAATATAGCCTCATTCGAGTAAGGGCTTTGGATGTTTGGAAGAGCATTTTATTTAGACTTTAGTTTCCCGCCTTTATAAACATTACTTATGGCGCGCATAAAATATGGCTTAAATTGGCCAATCGAAAAATGAGTGCTTGGTCACCCCCAATCTACGTAGACACTATCTCTCTCTCTCCCTCTCTCTGTTCTCCATATCGCCACTAGAAACAGACTGGTTTTATTCAACACGATAGTTTTACAAAGTCCAAGCTAAAATTAGGGAAATTTTATGACATTTGCTGTGGTCTTTCGAATTGGATTTTGCACCCTGGTTTAAACTTAGCGTACGGAGTGCTTCTTGTAACCTCTTCCTCGTGTTAATTAGAAACTCCTTATTTGTATTTGCAGGCTAAACGTAACTAACTTCCCTACTGAACTCTAAATTTTGGTACCTAACTAATTTTGCGTTTCTTGGATGGGGACTTAATACTGTGAACAACTTCCGGAAGCACTGCACATGTGCAGCAACGCTTAATTCTCTCTGAAATATCCAAGGACTTAATACAGATTTCACATATGTAAATCTGCCTAATTTTCTTAATCTTGAAAAGACGAATGTTTAAAACACTTGATTTGGTGGAGAGACATCAACCTGAAGCCTCTCTTACGAGGAACTCACATTCTACCACCTTTCTTGTTGACTAAACGTAACTGCGTCAATGGATAAGCCCCGACCTTTTCACGCTCGAGTGTTATGCAGAAAAGGTTGGGGGAGGGGAGGGCGAGGGCGGGGACTAGTCCATGTGAACCTTTTCTGGAACATGTGAGCTTTACGAATCACACGCACACTCGCAACAGTCCCAAAATTCAGGGTATCACACTCTCGCTCCCTTCCTTGCCCCTTCTGTGGTGGTATCAATAAACAACACCTTGGCATGCATTGAGGATGTTGCCAAATGTGAGGAGACCACGACTTCGACAACGCCTTCATTTACTCATTGAAGTCCTGTAATGACAGGTGGCTTTCTGAGCTGTCTGATTGGCTGATTACCCTAGACGTTATATTCTCACACTCCTTAAGGCGGCGCCTTGGTAGGTGAAATAATAATAATAATTTTTGGTACTGGAGGCGTGTATAGTCGTCGCTTCTCTGTCCCCCCCCCCCCTATAAACAATTGCGCGTGCACACGCAACGTGCCCTGGAGCTACGCGCAACCGGTCTTGTCACAGCTGCTGACTGCCTAGGCCTTTCAAATTGAATTGAGCTTTAATTTGGGAGTAAAAACTTTTCTGCTGTTAGTTGTTTCATTTCAGGGACCTAGAGATACGCACATCTAGGATTAATGAATCTGTCTTTTTTATCTTGCCACTTAACCAAGCTAAATACTCTTTAGATTTATTATTACTTCTATGCCTAGTATAGCTCCTAGTCTGTAAGTTTGGTGATAAATCTGATTTTTTACAGTGAACGTAGAGCCCGCTCTGTGAGACACATATTGCAAACTTTTAAAGTATGTTTGAAATCGAATTGCATTGGCTCTTTTTATTTGAATCTGATCTTCCTATTGTCAGTTGCCATTTCAATGTTTCGAGGCGCACAGCCCAGATTAAAGTACCCCTATGCTTACTATTAAAAATAAATTTCTTTTAGCTTGAAATTGCTCTGCCTTGGATATGTAATCGATCATTTAATGTGATAGCAGTGGAGAGCAAAAATCTGGAATCATCAACTCAAACTATTATTTTTGTTAGTTTTTTTCGTCTGTAACATATTGGAGGCAGTGTATAAAATATCCAGATCTTATTTAGATCACGGCATATCCTATTTGTCATTTGAATCCGATTGGATTAACAATTTTGGCAAACTTGACGACAGGGAGGGCTCAATCATACTCGTGTTTATATGCTAAAATTTTTGCAATAGAGATAGTTTGATTTAAATGAAGTCACAATTCCTATACTATCAAAGAAATCGTTGGGAATTGAAATAATATATCTTTAGCTTTTAATCTCACATGTCTTTTTTTCCATTGTAGATATTAGCGGAGCAAGATTACGGATTCAGCGTAGATTGGTGGGCACTGGGTGTGCTGATGTATGAGATGCTTGCAGGTGCACCTCCGTTTGAAGGTGACACAGAGCAGGATCTATTCAATGCTATATCTTACGGTGACGTCAAATACCCCTCTTCTCTCCAAGATGAAGCTATTGATATCCTTTCCAAGGTTAGTAAGACGAGAATTCGTGACTAAAATTGCTTATTGATTTCAATTTTCCAGCGGCTTTTGTTGTGCATTCTGAGTACTTTCTTACACAATCCATTTCTAAATGACTATAAACCATACATTAATGCAATTGAACTGGAGGCTCTCAGTTACAGCCTAATTTGAAAGAATATGTGAAGTCCTCAAAATTCCCTCTGGATCACTATTTCTATTTTTACCGTATCAGTCGGCGCAAAAAAAACGATCCACTATGAATGCTTTCTTTTACTTGGTGTCGTAACTTCAAGATACTTTAGTATTCCGCTCTCATTCATGCCTCCATGCCCCTCATTTCGAGAGCAAAGAGTTGTGCGGGGAGTAGGGGGGGGGGGTGGGAAGTGTACATAGTCTTCACGCACTAGTTGCCATCTCCTTCTCAGGGGTCGTGGATTGTGCATAAATTATCATTCTCATGACCACAGCAATTCTTCCTGTAGTCTCATCTCCTCAATTTCCATTGACCCTAAATTGGCCCATGTGCATAATCAAACAAACACATCACTCCATTCCGGTGTATAATTTTCCCCATTCCAATTTTGCTCTTTCTCATTCATGCCAGAGCGCCTGGCTTTTGTTTGCGTTTCTATCTGCCGGGGTACATTGAGCTTTGATATGACTTTAATGTACTAACAAGCCTCTTGCCTTTTTTTTCCTGCGTTGTCACTCCAAGTGTACCTCTCCAAAACGTGAGACATGCCTTTTTCCCAACCCCCGAGCAATGTTCCACTTGCCAAGGGCCATTGCTGTGCTTTGATAAATTATAAAATATCTTGAAGGAATGTAAATGAGCAATTCCGCTGAGGGCTGTAATTTCTTGCTCACTGAGTGAATTAATCGTTGGTATTATCTCATTTGCTAATAAGGGACATAAGCGGTTTTATTGATCACCCCCCACCCTCCAAGGTGTCTTCTCTCTTCCCGCTCTTCACATATCGTTGGTGCCATGCACTTATGAAAATTGCTCTCTGTGTTAGCAAAAAATGTCGACTTTGCCAATCTTTCTCTTCGACTCCTAAGTCACTTTAAAATGCGGGCATTGCGCGGCTTCGACGCTCAATTTAAACGAATTGCTTATCAATTACAGCCACATTTCAGCGAGATGTGAAGGAAATATGATGAGTGCACAATGTAATAAGGTATCTAAAGTTAAGCTTTGGCATAAAGTGGAAAAATGCGACATGCCCTTGACACAGAAACGAGTGTCTGATATCGATGACAACTATACAACTAATCAAATGGACCCAATGGTTTCCCACTTAGCTCCCAAATCTCATCACTTTACCTTAATTATATAATCGAATAGTACATTTCTTAGCTAACGAGCTATTTGTAATGGTCAATCTTTTTTTGCTTTTATCCATTCACTGTATTATTAATCATGCACAATCATAGCGGGATTTGCGATTGCATTGACACTTAACCACGCTTTTGTAGCTTTTGTTGCATTTTGCCAGGTAATCTATTCACTTAAATAGTTCTCTCATTGAACTGTGGTTTTGTTAGAGTAATTCAAGTGTAGATGTCACGGTATTCTCAATAACTAATGAAATCCAAGGCTCCTCATATGTTTAAAAAGAATTGTGCCATCTCATACAATTTGATATTCTAAGCACTTATGTAATCTATGCTTAGTTTTTGCTGAAATCACCATCTCGACGACTGGGCTGCGTTGAGACTGAAGGTGGTGAAGCAGCCATCCAGCGCCATCCATTTTTCCGAGAAATTGATTGGAAGCTACTAGAAGAACGCAAGATCCGTCCACCATTCCGACCAAAGGTCCGTTCACGCTTCGATACCACAAACTTCGACAAGGTAAGAGTCTAGTTGATATGATTCCTGTTTTAGCCTTTCTAGTGGCCTTGAGGTTTATGTATGCTGATTTTGTTTGCAGGACTTTACCAACGAGGACCCGGTGCTAACCCCACTAGATCATTCAAGTGAATTAGCAGCCCTAGAACAGGACGTGTTCGCAGCCTTTGACTGCGTGAACCCAGATTACAGCGCACTGCGTCACCATGCCATTCGACCGAGTCAACAACAGCCCTTGCTCTCGGTCTCTGAGGGTGTTAATATTACTTCAACTGATCGAATAACCACCCCTGTTTCCCCGGAGAAACGCAGCCAAGCAAACCCCAATATAGCTTCTTCCTCAACAACCATTTCTGATACCACAGCCACTAGTAATAATGAGTAACCGCCTCTCCCTCTTCTAAGTGTCTGTCTCGCTCCAAAGCGCCTTCCCTCTCCTCTCATTTGTCTAGATTAACCCATCGTAACCACAAGTCACCGTTTGTCGCTATCTATTCTCTCGCAATCTCCATATATGTGCTATAATAAAAATTTCCCTCTTCGTTCTTGTAATCATTTATTCGGATCCTGCTGTACATGTGTTTGGTGCTTCTGAAGATTGGAAGAACGGGACTAAGGAGGACAAACTTACGCTTCGTCTTTCCTATCACGATTCCTTGCCCTCCACAATTCATTGTTGTCCGCTTGTCTAATTGATCTTACACACACACACACACACACCTGTGATCTTCCAATACTTTGACGTGGATAATTTTTTTTTCTGAAAATCTCCCTCCACCGTCGCCTAATCTTTTACCTTTTTTTCTTCCGTGTACGTATGCGTTTGTGAGATTAACTCTGCATTGTTTACGTTGACAATGTGCTAGTGCAGCTGGATATCTGCATTTAAATTTCGCGCTAAACTTCTTCACTCAATAAGGGCGAGAAACGAATGAAACAAACCTCGGTTTTCTCCCCTCCCACCCCCACTCCCCCTTCTTCCTCTCTCTCCCTCTTTATGTTAACGCTTCCGGTCTATGTTCTCTGTCGAAGCTCGATTCAATCTACTCCTATCGCTGCGCTGAGTTTTTTGTGGCGTGTGATATTTGAAGATGGTGAGAACGAGATTATGCTATATCACCCGGAGTTATATTTGTAACTGACTTGAAAAACAAGGATAGTGATGCTGGTGACACCGTTGATTTCATTCCTTTATGTTTTTTGCCCCTATCTTTCTCCCTCGCCGTTTCGAGTTCCTGATATAAAGATGATTTTAAAGGCCTCGCTGTTAGTTGCCCTTGCTTTAAGGGGGTGGGTGGGGGTGGGGTTGGAAGTCCTCCTCCTCCTCCTGCTTTCAATTCAGCGAATAAGCGACCGACAATTGATTAGTCTATCAATTGATTTTCCCAGTCTACCGTATGCTTTTCAGAAGATGTCTTTGGCCCCCTCTCTCTCTCTTTAAATGGTCTCTCTCCCTCGAAATTTTCCCTGTCTTCACTTCCCTTTTATTCTGCTTTTTTTCTTTGAAGTACATAATACAACTATTATTGAGATTTGCTTTTTTGTGTTCTTGGTTTCGTATTGGGACATCATTATGGAAAGTGCTGTTTTTCAGCACTTTACTATAAGTGTGTTAAATTAAACAGTGGATAGTGGAAACTCTAATGTCATTTTTCTATTTTCCAAGAAGCCAGTGAGCAGTTTAAGAAAGTGGGGGTTTATTAGACACCGACTCTTAATGAACTTAGTTTAAGGGGAGAGTCAGTGATTTATAGCCAACTTAATCTCATGTCATTTATCGCAAGAGTGCTGGCATTCATCCAATTATGGACTTGGTAACTTCCTATGTCCGCAATTGGTCAGTTTAAGGACACGTTCGTATTAACGACCTTCATCTACC